GGGGTAGGATAATACGACCCATGTAGCCCAAACCCGATAGCCGAATCACACACAGCACGTCCAACCTCCAGCATAGTGCGTGCGTCCAAGCAGAGAAGGTAACTTGTCCCTGTGTCTCCATTGAGAACAACACTCAGAAGATACCCCGCATCTTCGGCCTGTGCTTCGTTGTCGGGGATAAAGATGGCCTCACCAGGGGTATGGTGGTCCTGCTCCCACAGCCAGGACTCTTGCGTTTCGAGGTCGACTTTTGCAATGGCGTCAAAAAAGGATGACTAGAATCAGTTGGCAATGTCGTCAGTGAGGTGTGAATGAGGATTAATTTCATGGGCGGGATATCTCACTTTTCCTCGATTCACAAGGTTGTAGACATATCGGGTCTTTCTTGTCTTGAAGCGCGGGTTGATCGTTGGCAGCTCCCCGGCACAGTTGTCATCAATTCTTAAAATTGCTTCTGCTTCTTGAAGGCAAGTAGGTTCAGACGTGCTCTCCTCGGTGTCCCTGTGGCTTACAGAAGGCAGACGGTAGCGAACCAAGCTGGGGCGCGCGTGCTCACTGCCATAGTACCTCGTGACATTGGGACCGGTGGAGACCATGGCATCATAGTATGAGCGCTGGATCACCTCGTCGGTAGGGTACTGGATGATATCGCAGATAATGTCGGTGGACCCGTCATTGCTCGTCTCCTGCCATGCGTTGACAGTATGGAAGCTAAAAAACGCCGGGCTCACGTACGTAGCGACGACGCCTTTGCCGTGCAACCGGTCAACGACATACCATCGAGCCTGGACATTGTGATCGAAATATAAAGCGTCTGCTATGTTTCTCTCCCAGAGTAGTTTGAGCCCGCCGGCTCCATAGAGGGCGGGCCAGATACACAGGATCACATAGTCGGTGCTGAGGAAGAATGAGTGCAAGTAGGCTGCCTTGACATCGGGGCCCGTAATGGTTGCGATGATCTCGGTCTGCCCAGTCTGTGCGGAGGTCCTGAAGATGCGGTACGTTGCGTATCTGCCGATGTCGAGATTGTAGTTGTAGGCGTCTCCCGTCGTGGCATCGAACTCGACGTGGGCGCACGAGAGCGGCCCTTTGAGGTCGGGGTGCAGGTCGATTTGCCGGGTGACACCTATGGGCTCCAGTGTATCTGGGTTGATCTTGATGGAGTATGAGTCAGTCGCTTTGGAGAAGTGTCGAAGAGGTGGGAGTATCCTACGTGTTTCAGCACATTGGCATCGGTCAACGAGGTCAGACTGCGGAATCGAGCGCCGTCAGGACGCGATCGGAAGATTTCCGGCACACCAGGGGCCTAACGCGTGGTTCGGTCAGAGAATCAGATGTAAATCTACCAGTGGCTTGAAGAAAAGAAAGAGCTAACATTGGCATGTAGAGTGACTCCAGCATTGACAAGCCCCGGGTCCTTGGAACTGAAAGGCGGATGAAATATGGACTTGACCTTCCGGAAGATGCTCTCGCAGGGATCCCTCTTCTGCCCAAAGGTGATCCCCTTCAACGTTCCAGACTTTCGCGCTTCTTCAACAAGGGCATCGACTTGCCCTCGCGAGTTATATAGCACCTTGCACGTCCCCGTGGTGGATTGGGGCACCAGCTCAAATCGGTGCACGAAGGAGAACCCGTCGAACCAGTGGCTGAGCTGGAAGGAGCTGTCGTTGACTTTGTATGTCCCGGGGCCAACTCTGTACAACGTACCGGCGAGCTGGTTCGGGAGGGATCCAACGACCTGGAGCTCAATGGGGGTGCGCGTCTCGACCGTGGCTTCGAACTGCGGGAGGATAATATTGTCAGCCAGCGAACCTCGCCATGTCAGACAGCTACCTACACCTGCATCATTCGGCCAGTCCTTGAACGGTGCTCTGGGATGCTCTTGGTGCGCCATCTGTCTGGAAAGGCTATGTCTGCGCGGGGAATGTCAGGAAGAAAGTAGTGTAGTGAAAATGATGTAAAACAAGACGAAGAAAATCGGAGAGGACCACATGAAAAGGTCAATACTAAGAAGTGCGAACCCAACAAGGATTACAATGATGTCCCTTCCCCACAGACCCCTGTTGATCACCCGAACCAAGTTTGGCGGGGAAAACATGCCGACCAGAGTGCGCTCCAATCTCCCAATCTCGGAGGGTTTCTATGGCAGCCAGCAGGGTTTGAGCCCGCCGGTCGGCGACTTTTTGCGCCTAGAAGCTGTCGGGATTATTGCGGGCGTTGTTGATTTCTGGCGCCTGCTTCGCCAGGCAGGCAGCATGATTCTCCGCGACTACTTCACGCAGAGGATGCCTTTCAAACTCTAGTGTATAGAAACGATTCCGTTGTCAGCTTTTGCAACGATGTCAAAGGATTTGCAGACAGTCCAGGTTTCCAATCCAGACCCGGATGTAGGCGCGGTGACCAGGATCCCACTAGACCTTGATCGATACAGGGTGGTAATCGCAATCGCTGCGGCTTGTATCTTTACAGGAGCCGGGTTACTACCAGAGATCCTATATATTGTATTGCTAAAGGTTGCAAGGCTCAAACTTTGGATAGGTACGGAATACTCCCTTCTCCGCCTAGAGTACCGACTTGCTAACAAGGCCATTCCTACAGTCTTTACGGTACTCGCATGCGCAATCGGCGCGTTCAGCGTTCTGGCTCTGCTTCGCCGGACCTGGAGCCTCGTTCGCTCCGACTCTACCTGTCGACCGACTGGCAGCAAGCGGCACCATGTGAGTCTAGTTGTGATTCATAACTGGTCCATGGTCCATTTTTCAACCGGCTAATATAATGATCTGTTCGCGTACATAGCTTGATTATTTCCAATGGAACTTTTTCACGGGGTTCTGTTACATCGCGGCCCTGATGATAGCAGCGATTAGCATGAGCCAGCAGGAAGACGAGAACATCGCCGACACATCGACTCGACTCATCAGTCTGCCCCTGCCGGTTCTAATCCTTCAAGTTAGCAGCCAGTTGCTATGTGCTTGCGTGATGAACCTGATGCACGCCCAATATCCTTTCCGCGTTTCGTCGATGAACAGAACAGCGCTGGTGCGACCCGGGGTCTACACCATCGTCGAAGACGTGCTCGCGGTTGATGGTGGACAAGGAGAGGAGTATCGCCGACTGCTCGATGCTCGATATTGCTCAAGCAAGGCGATTCGTGTTCTGCTGGCGCGCCTCGACTTGGCGTGGGGCCTTTCTGGAGCGATCGTGGCGACAGGGCTCATCACTCTCATCGGGACTCTCTCAAGCAGGGATACAGTATTCCTCATTGGTGGGTCGAGCTATCCGGTTTTTTTTTTTTTTTTTGCGGGGAATCTGTCGCTAATGCCCTGTTTGTTTGTTTCTAGGATGGCTGGTACCCTGGGGGTGGGCCGGACTGCTGGCTGTGGTTACGCGATGGATGTGGGATAATGCACTCATGCATGAAAAGGGTGTATAGCCTGGGAAGAGGTGATGTGGCATTTCCACGGGGTCGCAGTTTAGCCGGTGTAAGCATTTAGTGGCCCAGTGTAAGAGAATATTCTCGGCATCTTACACCAGCTCAGCTCTTCCATGTGACATATCTCAGCCGGTGTAAGCCTTGTACTAAATGAGCTTTACATGCCCTATATTAGGATTCTTTAGGGGCTATTTAGGGTCCTTGTAGCCCTTCTAGATTTTTATAGTCATTAGCTTTTATATATATTTCTTTTATCGTGGTTGGGACTATTGTTGGGCATGTGATAGCAGCTGATCCGGTATAAAAATGTTAAAAATAAAGCTTAGCCAGTGTAAAAAGAGCTAGTGAAGCTAGTGTAATTACGATTATATAATGATGCTTTTAGTATTTTTACACCAGATCAGATTGTACTCTTAATTGTTTCTTATACCGCGCCAGCTGTATGCCTGCAGGCTACGTCCCACTGCTCCAACAAGTGAAGTGTGTCACGAGTCTTGGTCACATGGCCCGTGAACCCTAAAGTATAACCGCGTAGCGCCTGCACTTTCAATCTATACTACTACTATTCGACGGTATTTGTGCTTTACAAGGTGATAGGATGACACCGTGCCATAAGGACAGTGCCCTGACGACCTGGTTAGTACTGTGTGAAATGCGAGCGAGCGCATCATAAGACATTGGGGAAGAGGGGGCCGGAGTCCCCGACAACTGAATCAGTGCTTGTGGCTGTTGATGGAACACTCCGCCATCTCACTCGCATACATTGCCTCATATAGCCTAGCTCAGCGCAGAGTGGCCCAGCTACCACCTAGATAGGGATTCTGGTCCATCTCGATAGGAATACACACATCTATCGCTGCATGACTTCCATCGAAAGTGGCCAGATGAGGGGTTCCGAATGTAACCTGGTCGTGTCTCAGTGATAAGATGGCCAATTGGGGCCGGCGCTCCTGGCGGCGCAGTCGGCTTGCATCCGGAGCGGTTCCTGGGGTCAGGGACTCGCCAAATTAGCACGCCAGGCAATTCCGGGGGGACAATGAAAAGTCAGCCCCGTCATGCCCGTAGCCGCAAAGGTAGACCCCGGAAGAAGCCTTGCCTAGAACTTGGCTGGCGTTCCGGATCAACTGCCTTAGCGGCGCACTGATCGTTCCCCCGCGCGCTCGTTGGCATTTATTGAACGAGCCTAACCTTTTCTACCGGATGTTGGTGTTGGAGATTCCGGGGAATGTTAGCGGGACCATATGCACTGCACTGCATTGCAGCACACATAAAAGGCTACACCACCGCGTCCAGTCGCACACTCGACCAGTTTCGGAGAGATAAAACTTAATCCCACGAGACAAATGGCAGACCAAGGCCGGACTCGGACTCGGACGGAAGAATTCGTCGAGGCTCCGTTGCGGTTGGCGTGTGAGGAATGCCACGCGCGCAAGATCCGTTGCGAACTGTCCGCGGCCACCAGCGGAGGTCGCTGCAAAGCATGCGCGCTAAACCAACGACAATGCCTATTTTCGCTTCGGAATAGGACAGGGCGACCGCGAAAGCAGCGTCTTTCTATACCGTGCAAATGCCCCAAAGCGTCGTCTTCAACACAACACCTCCGTCCGCCAGCGGAAACTCCTCCAACTGCCCTCCCGCCGGGGAGTCGGGTCCAGCGCAACACATGGGCAGGCTTTATCAGCAGCGCACCACTGGTGGGCCCCTGCAGGACGGCCAAGCGCACATGTGGAGTCCCGACGACGCTGGATGGAGTAATGGATCTACATGGCAAGCACAGCAGCCAGGCGCCGGGTTTGCATCACCTCCAGCATCCTTTGATAACTTTCTAGCACCTGAATGCCGTGGCTGGGATACTGTCGGCCAGTTGATCATGCAAGAGTCGGGTATCGGCTCTCTGTCAGACGCCTCTCTCTCGGATATGGGGTCAGTGGGCGACTCCTTGCAAATCGACCCGATCGTGCTCCTGGGGAGTCCAGGGGCTCTGAATGAGACCGACGGAGAGGGCCCCAGCGGACCCGGAGACAAAGGGTTCCTGGATGCGTTGAAACTCTACAGCGGATTGCGTAACAACTGCCAGTCCACGACGCTCGATATTCTCACCGAGGCCGGCCGGCACAAAGTGCGAGTGATATGCAATCTCTTTGACGAGCTGAGTCAGGCGGCGTTTGCACTCCAAGACGATACTTTGCATGCATCGCCGACGGTGCGCTCCGACATGTCCGAGGCCAAGATCATCACGGTCGCACTCGGCGAGGCAATCCAGGTCTGCATCGATATCATTCAGCACAATTTCCAAATACACCAATCCACTGCTCCAGCTCCAGAGCCTACAGGAAATTGCGGCTCGTGCAGTCTCTCGGAGCAGCAGCAGCTTCGCCCTGCCAGGCCGGACTCACGGAATGACCAAGTAGCTGGAGCATGCATCTGCCTCGCCGGCGTCGACGAGAAACAATTGCGCGTTCAACAGAACGGCCTCGAGCTCCTTATCTGTTTGGATTTTTCCCTGACTCGTTTCCGCCATGTCATGTCCAAGGTCGAGTTCCTGGTTGCTGGTCCCCCACAGGGGAATTGCGATTGCTGCATCAGTTCGGTCCCAAAAGTGGACACTGCACGCTCGCAGGTCTCTGCACTACTGAAGAAGTTTCGCAACTTTCAAGACTGATGGGGGTATGGTTTGTTGCTTTGGATGTGGGTTCTTCGCAATCACTACTCCGTACTAGGCAACATAAACATACAATGACAATAACAATGGCAATCACTCCAGGCTGTCCTCCTGTACACCTTCTCCGCTAGTTTCCTTCCTGAGTCGCTCCGGAAGCAGTTTGCTCTCCCTAACAACCTTGGTGGCAAGCGCTGACAAGGGACTCGGGCTGAGGATGTCGAAGACGGAAATTTCCGTCTGGAATTCATTTGCCATCCAGGCTCTAATCTCAACTGCAACCAGCGAGTTCACTAGCAAGCAGTCAGCACCAAGATTCCCAATAGCCATCTGGAACGGGTTTCACGCTTACCTCCATATGTGTGCAAAGGCTGTGAACTGTTGACATCTTCCACGGGGATCATCAGCACCCTCGCCACCCGCGAGACAATCATATCCTCCGCAATTCCCGACGCGGCTTCCAGTGACTCCGCCTTCCTGATTGCCTCCAGGCCGGCCTGAAGCGCCGCATCGTCGTTTTCTACACCACCTGGCTTCCATAGCGTCGAGAACTTGGCATCCCGCGCCCAGTGAGCCCGTCGGAGGACGTCGTCCATCTCCTGGCTCGCGCTCAGGCCAGTGATGATCCGCGCCGGGACTTGCTTCCCCTGGCCCTGTCCCTGGCCCTGTCCCTGGCCCTGGCCCCTAGATCGAAGACTCCCTGCAATCGCAAGCCCCACAAGGTGATGGACCTCTTTCTCAGCAATCTGGAATGCCGCAGTATGGGCTAGGTCCGCCGCCCTGTCGGACTCGGCGATGTATCCGACGTCGCGGACGGCGCCGAGATCAATCGCCGTGGCGGGAAGGCCCTGCTGGCGCCGGAAGAGAGCCAGGGCGTCTTCAAATGCGTTGCCGGCTGCGTAGTTAGCCTGCCCTGGATTGCCGATTACACCAGAGATTGACGAGAGCATGATGAAGAAGTGGAGGTCTCGCGGGACAAGCTCGTGCAGGTTCCAGGAGCCCTGGATCTTGGGACGCGTGCTCGTGATCCAGTCCTCGTAGGACATTTGTTCGAAGACGCCGTCCTGATGATTGCATCCGTGTTAGGGGCCATCCGGGCGCTTCAATAGGGGGACGATTGAATTGCATCAATCAAGAAAAAGAGATGAATGGACCCACCTTGAGTACCATCGAACATTGGATCAAACCCTTGATATGGGGCATTTCAGCGGCACACTGTGCCAGCGTAGTCTGGAGACTGGCCCGATTCGATATGTCGCATGCATAAGCCTTTGCATCGCAATCGTGCCGACGCAGCTGATCCAGGAATGTCTTCGCTTCCTTCCTGGAGTCGCCTGATCGAGATATGAACGCAAGGTGTCTGGCCCCATGCGACAGGAGCATATCGGCAATACTGCGGCCAATCCCACCCAATCCCCCAGCTAATAGGTATGTCGCGTCCGGGTCAACCGTAAACTGGGGTTCTACCGGGGGAACCACGGGGACTAGATCATCGTCTCGGGCCTGGACAACAATCTTCCCAGAGACCGAACCGGATTGCAGGGCCCGGAACGCCTGCTCGACCTGCGCGTAGCTGTACACGGTCAGGGGGACCAGCGGGTGGAAGCGCTTCGTCCGGAAGAGATGGAAGATCTCGTCGAGCGCCCGCGAACATTCCATGTGGACAGGGCTGCACTGGTGGTACATCTCGAGGTTGAATCCGATATAACTCACGCCGCGGATGAAGGGGCCCATGTCGAGGCCGACTTTGTTCAGGATATCGCGTTTGCCGATCTCGACAAAGCGCCCGTGGTCTGCGACGCAGGTCCACGACTGCCGAAGGAGCTCGCCGGAGGTCGAGTTCAGGACGACGTCGACGCCGCGGCCGGCGGTCATTCTCATTAGGCCTTCGGCGAACGTCGTATCCCGCGAGTAGAAGATGTGGTCCTCAGTCAGACCGTAATGATCAATGAGCAGGTCTTTCTTCGCCTGGGACCCGACGGTGGTGTAGATCTCGACGCCGAGGTGTTGGCAGATCTGGATCGCAGCTTGCCCGACGCCGCCGGCACCGTAGTGGATCAGCGCGGTTTCGTTGCGGGTGAGGTTGGCCTTGTTGACGAGCGCGATCCAGGCCGTCAAGAAGGAAACTATGACTGTCGTTCCGTCTTCGACTGCCATATGGGATGGGACGTGCTGGATGAAGGTTGATCGGATGCGGACGTGGCTGTTGAAACTGCCCTGGAGCATGCCCACAACTTTATAGGGAGAGAGAGCCTCAGTCAGCTTTTTATTCTTGGGTCCGAGAGTTCTGTATGGAATAGTACCTTTGTCACCCGGCTTGAACTGGGTAACCTGCGACCCAACATGCGTGATGATTCCGCCAACCTCACAGCCCAGAGTCGGCGTAGGCACCTGGCCTAGCGCGGCCATGATGTCCACAAAGTTGAGTCCTTTAAATGAAATGGTTAGTATCAGGGAGACAAAAATGGTCAGGAGGAACAGACCGGTGCAGAGAACCTTCATCTCAACGTAGTCCGGCTTTAACTGCTCGCGAAACTCCTCGTCATCCACAAACGCGAACGTGTTGAGCAAGCCTGACTCCTGTAGGACCATTTTCAACGGCCGATTCTCTTGGAAGAGCGGCTGCGGACTCGCCTGGGGCACCCTGTCTATCTGAGTGATTGCCGAGTTCAGCTCCCCATCTTCAAAGACGCGTGGCACGTATACGCAGCCGTCGTCCTCGGCGAATTCCCAGTCTCGGGTTTCGCGATCAGAGGGTCTTGTTCCCAGGACGGTCTGGAACACTTCATGGACGATGCTGGCAGCAAGCGCATCCTGTGGAATTGTCTCGAGCGATAGGTCGAGATTGCCGAGGCGCTTTGTCGAATCTTCCGCGCGGACAGCGCGCAACAGTCCGCTGGCGACTCCTGCAAAGGGGTGCGAGGCTGTACTGGCAACTTGGCCCTGCCGGGTCACCCAGATCACACCTGCGCTGTTCAAGATCAGGCTCCTGACTGTGACAAATTCGTGTTCGGACATGTCTTCAAGCAGTGGGTTGTCGAGCTCGAGGAACGACACTACAGCCTTGCCTGCGAGATCCTCTGGGACTGTGTCAAGGGTAACATGGCTGACGAAGAAATCACGCTTGGTGAGCAAATCACCAAATGTTGTGCCGAGCACATTACTCTCATTGGGAGAGTTAGCTCCATTGAGAATGACCACCTCCGAGAAATCATAATTGGTGCGGAAAGGCACAGAAGTCATCATCACAGAGAGCTCACGCAGGTCTGGGTCCGCCGAATCGTTAACGATGTGTTCGATACCCACGAAGCCAGCTTGTTTCAGCAAAGAGTCCCATTGCATCTCATCCCGTGGTGCATTCCACCATCTAGCGTCAGACCCCAGAACAAAGGCTGTCCGGGGCTGATTGGCCGTTATTCCTGCCACAAGGAGCTTCCCATCGGCTTTCAACAGTTTCCTGACCGCTGCTAGCGCCACCGCAACATCCACTCTGGGCATCAGGTCGGTCAGGATAATGTAGTCGTACGAGCCAGCCTCAAACCCTTGTTTCTCGGCATCTTTTCTAACATCGAGCCGCTCCGAGTCAAATGAAGACCACTCCTTGGACATGATTTTGGCCTGGGACACTGCCTCGGACTCGTGCGCTGCCAGAGTATATGTCGTGAGGCGTGCACATCCCGCTGACTTGGGTGCGACGCGTCGTAAAACAGACGTGGCGCAGGAGGTTGATCCGTCTCCAACCTCGAGTATGTGGCTATCGGGGTGGACATCTCCGGCACGGTCGATGAACTCCGAAACCACGGAGTTGACAAAGGATTGATCGACTGCGTCATTCAGGAATTTGGAAATCAAATCGGACGTTACGGTGGGCTCGGCTTCATTGCTGCGATTCAGGATCTGTGTTAGCACGTTTCCCACCATGTCGATCGTCTGCATCACTGGGCAGGACTCCAGATTCCTGGATTCGCCATAGGTCTCATCTAATGGTTCGGCTCCGATTGTCTTCAGGCGGTCGAAGTACCGTGCGAAGGGTTGACTCGTCACCTGTTCTCCCTCTGGTTGCGGCAGGGTGGAGGACGCTTTCTGTGCGCACAGGATCGCAGTCCGATTCCAAGCTCTGGCCTCTTTCGAGAAGGCCGGCGAAGGTACCGGAACGGACTTCCAGAACCTCCCGGCTGTAGTCTGAGAAGATAATAGATCTATCCGCCAGTCCATCCGTGTGCAGATCTTGCGAGGAGCATGGCGCAGCTGAGTCGAGGCGAGTTCCGTGCAGACAAACCCCTTAAGGATCACCCTGGGCTCACTCCACGCATCGTCCGAAAGGAAAACATTGCCCTTGTGCTGCAGCCGCAATGTGGGGTCCAGCGTGCTGTATCCGCGCATGCACGATCCAACGGGAGGCATCGAGGCCGAGATATACAACGATTCGATCAGGCTTGGCGCCATGGCAGGGGAATCATCCTTGACCGTCCCACTGCAGATCATCATCTGGAAGACCGCGTCTAGAAGCGTAGGGTGGATGGGAAGCGGGTACTCGACGCCCTCGGGCATCAGGGCCGCCGTGTCCTTGATCTGCAGCTCGCCGTGACCGAAACCATCCCCCGTGTGGATCTGCGTGATGTTGCGGAAGGCAGGACCAAAGAACAGACCTAGGTTTTTCAGGCGGTCGTAGAGCCGACTGGCTGATTGAACCTTGGTGGGTTTCTGGAGAATCGCCACGTGCTCCTCTTTGTAGGCGTTCCAGCTCTGGAGAACTTCAACGGCGTGATCGACCTCGTTGGGGCCACTGGCGAAGATGCTCCGTACGAGTCCTGTACAGTGTTCTGTCGCGGAATTCTCATGGGTCATGGACAGAATGCTAAAGTGTGTCCAGTGGGTGGCTGTAGAGCCGCTGCTCCGGGTGCCGACATTATGCGGCCGGAATTGCAGGATCGTCTCGACTACCGCGACAGAAGAAGAAAACACCATGGGTCTGGAGAAGGTGACGTCGCGGAATTCGTAGCCCTGGACCGAGTCCGCGTGAGGTCCAGCCACCTGTTTGCAGGCCTCCAGCACCATGGCGAGCATGGCGGCACCGGGGAAGATGATGACTCCCTGGATTTGATGGTCCATGAGCCAGGTGATCTCCGCTGGACTGATAAAATTGGTCCAGCGCGGGGCCACGGTGCTGTGATCGTCTGTTGGGAGGCCCAGCAAGTCAGTCCGCGGGGTGGTCCTCGTCCGCCGGATTCGTGTGCTTCGGGCCTCGTGCCAGTATCTGCGCTTGTGGTTGAACGGATACCTGGGCAGATTCACCAGGGGTTTCCACTGGGCCCATGGCGAGCGGGTGTTGGAGTTGGCTCGTCCCAGGTCCAGGGGAAACCCCAGGGCCCACAGCTTGCCGGCTGCATCCAGTGCTGTCGCGGTGGCACTCTTTCCTCGCTGCAGTAGAGACGTGTAGGTGACCGAGTTGACCTTCATATTCGGAACATGTGCTACAATGTCGCGCAATGGTCCCTGCAGGGCAGAGTGGGGCCCAATTTCGACCAGAGCGTTCACACCCGCTGATCCCTTGCGATATTTGCGTCGGATCTTGGTGGATCTCTGGCTCAGCAATGCCGTAACTGCGTCAGAGAAGCGGACGGGGCTTAGAAGGTTCTTCACCCAGTACTCCGCATCCAGGCTGGAGAAGGGAGTTTGAGCGCCAGAAACAGACGAGAAGAACGCGACATCGGACGTCGTCGTAGTGGGCCAGACGTCTCTGATGGATGTTAGGTACTGCTCCGCAATTACTTTCATATGCGGCGAATGGTACGCCGTCTGAACCTTTAGCCTCCTGCACCAGACATCGTCACTCTGCAGCAGCCTCTCCATCTGCGCCACCGCACACATATCACCGGAGACGGTCACGCTCCGGGGACTGTTGATGCATGCAACTACGGCTGCTCCGTCCGTAACCTGGTCTAGATAGGGTTGGACCCCGGACTGTGACAGGTTGACCGCCAACATAGCCCCCTGCCTATGGGGCAAGAGAGCCGTAATCTGCTCAGAATGCAGGCCGCGAAAATAGGCGATCTTCCACGCTGCGTCTCTACTGATTGCTCCGCAGGCGTAAGCTGCGGCTGTGGTGTGTTAGCTACCGTAGATACTCCATCTCCGTAATATCTGGATGTTACGTACCGATCTCTCCACTCGAATGACCCACGACAGCCTTGGGATGCACCTGCCAATGCTGCAGGAGCTCTACCAGGGCCACTTGGACAACAGTACACAGTACCTGCGAGAACCGCGGCTCGTTGATGCGGCTCTTCTCCTCCGACTGGTTGAGCTCGTCAAGGATGGAGAAATCGCTTCCAAGTGAGAGTATATATTCATCCGCCCGACGCAGGCTATCGCTGAAGACCTCCATCTCCTGCAGCTCGCGGCCCATTGCAAACCACTGCGCTCCCTGCCCAGTGAATACCCATGCGCAGGAAGGATTCTTGAGCAATCGTGTTGCCCTTGGGGGCGTGCTTTCCAGCACCTTTCGGAGGTCCGGCAGCGATGTTGCGACAGCAAATCCACGGTAGTCGAAGATTGTCCGCCTCTCGGCGAGCGTGTAGGCAAGCCCGAGCTCATTGTCCAGGATTGAGTTGTACCCCCCATCAGACCCCTTTTCTTCTGGGTCATAACTGTCCCTGACAAAGTCCGCGTATGTCTGGGCAATGCGGGTGACCCCGTCCTGTTCCGGGGCCGAGAAGACATATAATTTTGGTGTAGCGTTTGACACGTTATCCAGAGGGTCGATGGAAATCCCGGAGTCTAGCGGTGATGGAGGCGAGCTCACATGCAGCCGTGTGTTATGGTTCGCGGTGATGTTTCTCTCTGGTCGGGGGGTTTAATCAGCACAAATGCTTCTATGGGAATAGAGGTATTTCTCACATACCGGCAAGATAGTGAAACGCGTCATCCAGGATGACATGCGAATTCGTACCTCCATGCCCAAACGAATTGACGCTCGCCCGGCGTAGCCCCGGCGTTGGCCACGGCGTAAGCTCAGTAGGGATGCAGATGTTCCATCTTTCCAGGTCAAACTCCGGATTCGGCGCCTCAACGCCATGCACAGCGGGGATCCGACCCTGCTCGAGAACGAGAACCGTCTTGATGAGACCCGCAATCCCAGAGGCGCCTTCCAAATGTCCAATATTGCTCTTGACCGACCCCACAAGCAGTGGAGGGCACCCATCTGCTGCTCTTGCGACTCCAATGGTTTCGCCTATAGCGGACATCTCAAGGGGGTCGCCAACGTGTGTCCCTGTCCCGTGGGCCTCGAAATACACGGTTTCGGAAAACTCAAGCCCGGCTGCCTTGTATGTGGATCGAATGAGGCTGCTCTGGGCCTCTGAGCTGGGCACTGTGATTCCTGGTGTTTTCCCGTCTTGGTTTATTCCCGTGCCCTGCATTCAGTGCGGGATAGTTAGGAAATGCAACCTCAAGAGGTATGTATGTCGTAGGCTTACCCTGATAACTGCCCTGATAACATCATTGTTTCGAATGGCATCCATCAGCGGCTTCAGGACTATGACGCCCATCCCCTCGCCCCGTCCGTAGCCATTGGCCCTGCTATCAAAGCTGTGGCACTGCCCGTCAGGGCTGAGGAATCCCAGCGCCGATAGCCCACGCCATACCTCGGGCTGGATCATGAGATTGGTGCCTGCAACGACGGCCTAGTGTTGACGAAGCTTAATTAGTACCTCTGCTGACTGAAGCAGCTTTGAGGGGTGGGTACCATCTTGCTTCCGCCGCTGCGAATCTCCTGACAGGCCAGGTGGAGGCCCACCAGGCTCGAGGAACAAGCGGTATCAATGAGAAGAGAGGGGCCACGGAGGTCATAGAACCATGACAGGCGGTTGGCGAGCATTGCGCCGCCACAGCCGGTCGACGCATACGGGGACATGTATGAATTCTCTCGCCCCGAGGTGACTTCGTAGTCCTTTGTGAAGCATCCTACCATCCTGTTCGCGTGTGTTTTAGTGTTCCGTTCCGCTAATAAATGGTTTCTTGACGTACACCGCTGTTTGACTCCCTGCAACGGACTTCAAAGGCATCCCAGCTACAAACCAGCATGTCAGCACCCATCCTGTACCGGGGTGAGGAATGCAACGTCTCCTGACTTACCATTCTCAAACGCTTCATACGCCACCTCCAACAAAATCCGATGCTGCGGATCCATCCCTTCAGCCTCTGTCGCAGTCATGGAGAAAAACGGCGCGTCAAAGGCCGCAATGTCCTCCTTGAGAAAGTGGCCCTCCTTGGTTGTAATCTGCCAGGGCAAGTTAGCACGGTGCACATCCGTTCCTAGGCAACAGGCAGGTCCTCGCTTGCCTACTCCACTCCACAGCATTTGGGGTAAGCACTTACAGCGCCCTGCCGATCAGCCGATGGGTGATAGTACGCCTCTGGGTCAAATCGATCGACGGGGATCCGAGTCTTGGCCGACTCGCCGTTCTGCAGGATGTCCCAGAATCCACTGGCGGATCGAGCCTCGCCGGGGAAGCGCCAGCTCATCCCGACGATGGCAATCGGTGGACATTTGTCGTCCATGTCTGGTGTAAGGAAGCTGACCCTGGTGATAGAAGGGACTCTTCGAGTTGTTCAAGATGTCCCACTTGCGGTGGGGTGGGTGGCAATGGGATAGATACTGAATCAGGTATGATACCCACGGGATAGAAAGCCGACTGCGTCAACGGGGCTAGGTGGTGGTGCCATGCGACTCAATTTGGCATTTATAGACTGACTATGAACAAGTGCTTAGGCCGCCTCCAACCCCAGCATACAGCACAATGCCCGCAATCTACTGTCTCTATCCCCAGAGCCCGCCAATATCCAGATCTCGCATTCCTCGGGTTAGCCTCACCACCAACCTTGGAAGCCGCTTGGTAGGTCTCCGAATGAGCTTTCTAGCGCCATCCAACCGCCCACTTTCCTCCGCTAGAAGAGCAGAAACGCACCGAGAAAAATAGTGGCCGAGCTTTGACACACCAAGCGCCGAATTTCCGAAGACCATCTAACACCGACAGCGGCGGGTTCAGGGATCTCTCCACCCGGGCCCAAATGTTGCCGCCTTCACCGAGAAGTCACGTTGATGGGGAAAGCCACCGAGGCATTGAGGGGGCAAAAAGAGCCCGAGAGCAACATGGTATGTGTCTGGTAGACTAATTGAAATGGGTGATGCCCTATCTATCCACGAGGGGAATCTAATGCGAATCATCTCTAGGTGGCTTTCTGAGTAGAAACATAGTTCAGGATAGGTATACCTATTGACAGTGAGACATTTCGCGTGAATCCTGAACTATAGACCCGCTTTGTAGCTCGGTTGTAGGCAGTGGCTATATGGGTTTTCTATTCTCATACTGGTGACATGCTACAAACGAGAAACAAAATAAGACCAAGACAAAACCAATCCTTCAATTGCCAACCCGATGCAAGTGGAAGCCTTCCAACAACCTTCCCTTTATAGGACCCTTGTTACATCCCCCCTCGAGCATCCACAGCAGGACAACGCTCCCTCGACGCCATTCAGCCTGGACCCTTCACGCAGCCCCCTCACCCCTAGCCGCCTCAGTCCTTGCATACGCGTCCTCTAAATCCGCAAGTCGCTGCTTGATCGACTGCGGCTTCCGCTGATACGTGCACAGTGTCGCAACGACGCACGCCGCCGCGATCCCCGCACAGATTCGCATATCGGTGTTGAACGTGCTAACATAGACCTGGCGAACGACCAGCTGCTGGCGCACTGGGAGCCGGGAGATCGCCGCGGGGGTCCGATAGAATTCATCCAGTTGCTCGGGTGTGAGGACGCCGGCGAGCGAGTGCTGGACGTTTGTGTTGAAAACGATGAAGCCTGAGGCGATGCCGATGCTTCCGCCGAAAATGCGCAGTTGGGCGACGATGCCTTGGGCGACGGCTATAAAGGGATATTTGTTTTAATACCGCAGCCGGATATACGCATTGGGAGAAAAGAGCAAGGAACGCACGTACCATGATCCTGAAACTCCACCTGCATCGTCGTAAGAAACGTCATTGTAGAGAGACTCAACCCGATCCCAAACCCCAGAATCGATTCGAGTCCCCACTGCCTCGGTGCCGGGTCTACCGAGTCTGGCAGAGTCGAGAGCGAGGCAGTCCCAATCACCATGAAAATGCTCGCCAGGTTCAGCGTCCAGAAGGCATTGTTTCGCTTCGCAGACGCCGCGCCGCCGATCGCAGAGCCGACGGCGGTGCCGGCCATCAACGGGAGGAGCAGAATCCCAGAGGCGACGGCGTCCTTCAGGTTGACAATCTGCGCGCGCAGGGGGATGTTGACGATTACCAGAAGCATGACAAATCCCGTTAGGATGGTGCTCCTGTCGCGGGTCCGTTAGTTGGGGTGCTTTATGTACTGATGTTCTTGGGAGATCGCTTCCAAAGACACTCACACAAAGCCGGCAACCATGACCCGGCTTGAGAGTAGCCGGAATGGCAATTGAGGCCGAATCTGCTGGAATCGCGGTTTGGACGAGATAACCCACTGCCAGTAGACGAGCGCTCCCCAGGACAGCGCAGAGATGACGAGGATGATAATCACGGGGGCGCTGTTCCACGCATAGGCTCTGATGGCGGCTTCATTCAAGATGAAGACGAACAGGACAGATCCGATCAGGATGAGAAATGCGCCGAGATAGTCCAGGTGCCGGAAGCGAACATTCTTCGCGAAATGGAAATCGTTGGGCCACACGAGTAGCAGGGTGACCAGAGGCACAAACGCACATGGACCGCTAGACCAAGGGATTAGACCGTTTTCTTCATCTGCAGGAAAGGACGTACTTGATCCAGAATCCCCAGCGCCAGGTACGATAACTCGTCAGGGCGCCCCCGATCAACGGCCCGCTAATCCCAGCCAGGGCGACAACCACGCCGATGATGCCGGATATTGCGGGGAGTAAAGGAGGCGGGCTGATCTCGGGGTAGATGATCATGGCCATCGCGTACAGCCCCGATCCGCCAATTCCCTGCATCGCCCGGAAGCCGATGAGCTGGCTCATATTCTTCGACGCAGCGCATCCCATCGACGCGCCGAGAAAGATCAAGAAGCACAGGCACAGGAGGCATTTCCGGCCAATGACATCCGATAATCGTGCCATGAATACGGCGCATCCTGGTTTTGGAGGTATTAATTGAAGATGTCTCGAGAAGGGCAGAGCAAGAAGTGGATATTCACCAACGTAGGACAGGGTGTACGCCAGGACGATCCACGAGCATGTTTTGAATCCATCGAATTCGTCCGAAATAGTGTATAGCATGGTCGAAACAATGGTGGTATCCATCAAAGACAAGAACAGTCCGATGGCGATGCTGCGGAATTCATGGTCAGGGCTCCGTCACTCATATTCAACAAGGCTGTCTTGTGATCTCACGAAAGAAGAATAATCACCAGCCTCCATGTTGCAATTGTCGGGCGCGCAATCTCAAAGGATGTAGACACATCTTCGCTGGTAGCGGTAGCCACCTCCGAACCCATTATGATTGTCCGAGCAGATGGTAGAACGATGTCGAAGCAAATTCACACGGACAGATACCATCTGAACGGTGATATATTATGGCTGGCGAAAAGGCGGTGCCTAGACAAGGCCTCGGTCCAGCTGAAGTGCCTAAACATCCTTCTCGCTAACACGCAGCAGTGATTGGTGCTGTCGTGAGGGGGAAAAACCAACCGGCGGGTTTCTTCGGCCAGATATTAGTTCACTTATAGCGATGGACCCTTGCTAGTGTATTCTCCACAGGGGTCCAAGCCAATGTCACCACTGCGGACAAGGCTACCATTGCGTCAGGGATTGTGGATGTTGATGCAGCGTATTACAGTACGACTGCGGCCTTTTACGAAGCGAAGGGCCATCATCTCCGATGAGTTCGGCCTAGGAGAGATGGACATTCGCACTACAGTTTTAAGATGTGTTTACGAAAGCTTCAGTAGAATATACCATATAACTAGAGCCATGAAAGTTCAAGTGAGGTACCAGGTCCACCGACATACTTTCCTGATCAAGTTCGAGTAGATGCTTTTACCCTCGATTAATAGGTTCTGCCTTGAGACCCCCAATAGAATGAAACTCAGCAGACCCGAAAGCGAAGCTGTCGCCAGAGGGTTAATGCTCAAAAAACCAAATCCCCTCGCTTTATGGTGTACTGATCTCATATGGTCCCGCCTGTGAACCTTCCATCAGCAGAGGGACCCTGGGCCCGCAGGAATTCCTCGCACTCCTCCAGGTCACGGAGTTCTATGCGAACGTCTGCCCGCGGTAGCCCTTTGGGCCCCCCCCCCCCCCCCTCCTCTCTAAGCGCAAGCTACTCCCCTAACCCTTGAATCTGACTCCCTCGAACCTTCTGAGCCCGCTGGCGAAAGCCTTGAGCTTGGTGGACACCCACCCCGACACCCACCGCATCCCGGCTGTAGGGCGTAGGCCAGCGGACGACAGGGCCCCTCCGGGCCCAGTATCAGCAAGAATTGCTTTCTAGGACCCTGCCTGGAGTACGGGGAGGTTTTTGTAACATAGATGTGGAAATACTACAACTGGTTCCTGGAGCCTCCATGTACGATAGGTCACTTTCTTAGCTTAGCACGTCCCTATATGGACCATGGGAGCCGCCGGGAGGCGATTTAAATCGCTAACCGCCTGGACGTTTAACCAATATCAATCAATCAATCAAGTCCATCAGCAGAGCCTGAGATAATACTCACAAGGTACTACGTACAGAACACAATATATGAACATGTCCCTGTATCTTCCAACTAAACAACGGTCACCGCATCTGCGCCATCCGCATAGCCCACTCAACGGCCTTGAGCACCGCCTGCACGTCATTCATCCGATGAGGCACCTTATGCACGCCCTCAAACTCCACAACGCGAGTCAACCCGTTACTGCAAAGCCTCGCCTGCAACTCACTATGCGGTCGCAGCGGGTCTGACCGGCCGATGATGTGGACCGTCGGAATGGATATGCGCTGCCTGTTGACTAAGGGGTGATACACACGCGGGAAGCCATCCATCCCCCCGCGGGTATTCCATTGCGTTCTCGCGGCATGATCGTGCTCTGCGCTGTTGTCCACCATCTGGCGGACGAGTGCGAATAGCTCCTTCGCCAGCGCTGCCTTTTGGCCTGGGAGTAGTAGAATCGCGCGGTGGTTCTTGAGACGCGATAGCTTGTGCGTCACGGCAGCTCTCTTATCGTCCTGGAGGAAAGCTCCTCGCTCGAGCTCCTCCATTGTTGCCTTGTCTTTCTCACTCTCTTCATCTTGCTTTACCTGTTTATAGTACCGGGAGTACTTGGCAACAATGTCCGCGTTAAACATCGGATCCGGCGAAATAGAGAGCCCGGCGCAGAAGAAGATCGCAAAGCGAAACGGCGGCGGACGGTCGGGATGAGATATCTCATGGTGGTAGAGGATAGAGAGGGTGAGCGACGCTCCCTGGCTAAAGCCAATGACTCCGTCAAAGGGGCCATCGTCTTCAATGACGTCCTGGACGAAATCATGCGCGTCTCTCACCTGGGTCGAGGATAGCCCCTCGTACCAATTATAGAAAGGGCCCGGCAAGTTGGGAGGGATTTCTATGGTAAGGAATGATAGAGACAAGGCAGTAAGCATCTCGTACTTAACTCGTGCAGATATGGTTAACGAGTGATTGTACCCCCGGGGCCCGGGGACAGCTGGACGGGAGCCTGGTAAACTGACTACGACGTACCTTTTGCAGGTCCACATGACACGGGACCATCAAGAAAGACATAGTCGTGGGACTCGCCGATCATGGCACAGATTACGGACATCTGCTTCTCGAATATCTCGGCAGATGCACCCCTAAGCCCAGGATTTCAGCGGATGAACACTCTCAGAGAATGGACACAAAATGTACCACGGGTGCAGACAGAGAATCTTCATCTCGTCTGTATTCAAAGAGGGCGATTGCAAATCAGTTAGGATGAGCTTAGGCATGCTATATTCTTCGGTAGGTAGAGCTATCATATATTAATATAGGAGTTCGGACACAACGGGTCTCCGGGGCCCAATCGGCGAGTATTAAAGGGCCCGGAACTCCACCACTTTCATGGGAGCAATAGTAGAACGACGGATATCTCGTGGAAAGTCATACAGAAGCCAAAAGCGACACCCAGGCACTGGGCAAAATTAGATGCTACATCGGTGGGCTAATGTGTTCTATAAACCTAAAGAATTTTTCGGAGTATATGACTCCAACTGCTTCATCCTTCAGTACCCCAGATCTCCTGATCCGGGGGATTAGTATTTTGATCCCGAGATCCGTTAATCTGGAAGAGATAACTGATATAAAGATGACCAGTTAACCTTGTAATAAGGTTATTAGGAAGGTAGTGCAGGTCTATAGATTAGATAACATTCATGTTACAGCGCTACTACAAGATGTAGTACCCCAATGGGGGAGGAAGGTACCTGCGTTGAGCGTGCTACTATATAGGGCGGTCCCAGGCATCTCAGCGCCTCTGATGCTGAGATAGTGGTCTTTTGGCCCAGTTTTATGAACGTGTTGCCTGGGCGCGGTCATAACAAATCAATATAAATATAACCTGCAGTCTTTCTATTTTTTAGATTTAGATAGAGATAAAAAGAACTTCTTTCCGGTATAATAGAATCCCTTATACACCTTTTACTCCTAAAGCTTATAGCAACTCTTTAGTGCCTTTTTGTTCTATAGGTTGATCGCTTTTAGAAAGGAGGCCCGCATACTTAATTATTAACATATTATGTCTAAAAACCACTAATAAATTCTTGGTTATGTCAATAATATACAATTTTTCAACCGATTCTTTTGCTGCACGTTTATCTCTATTTCAATTAGCTAATATTTCATAAAAGGATGCCCTATTACTATTTTTTTGGATAAATGTTGAAATAGTGATTATAACTACAATAACAACAAGTACCCTCTGTCTTTGTTATCCTGTCGGCGACGTCAGGGCCCTGACGCAGGGCGTGAGCTTTCATATCCTCTTTCTTTGCCGTCTTGGTAGATTATGCTTTTGTTGTTCTGATCTATAGCCCATTGGTCTTGATATTTCATCTTTATTAGATCAGCAACCTAATGTTAGTTATGCAGTATCGACGAGCTACTCCTCACCATATGTATAGTGCGCATAAAGAATTATGCATGCTACCGGAGAACGGAATAGCCGAAAATAATAGATCCGGAGTCTGAGGAATCCGAGGAAAGGGTATATATCCAGCATCGACTGCCTTTTGATAATGTGTAAGTCTGTCAATACTTCGGTATAAAGATGGTTAAAGTCGCAATTGCTGGTGGCACAGGTGATATCGGCCGGACAATTGTTGAGATTATTAAAGACAACCCACACCATGAAGCAGTGGTTTTTACTCGGAAGGTAATTTTAATATAAATCCTAATAAAGTATCTGTTAATAAGTAAATAGATAATCGGAGATATCTTTGGGATTCTAACTGTTGTTGTTAATTATAAGGATATTAACAGCCTCAAGCACACGCTAGAACAGCATGAGATCTATATTGTTATTTGTACTGTCGGCTATACCGGTGACGCCCTGAGTAAATCTCAGCTTAATTTTATCTGAGTTGCGGATGTATTAGTGACCACAGTGTAATTTATACTGAGTGCTTTTACCTGCGTATATACCCTAGAGTAAGCTAACCTATAATATAACTAGGGAATATTACTGATCATGATACTATAGTATAGCAGAGATATTTCCCGCTCTTTATAATTATTTCTATGCTATTAAAAAACTCAGAACATCAGGACTCCAGTAGACTATCTTCATAAATAAATATTTTATGGATTATTTTGCTTTTGGGAAGATTAAGTCCTACCTCAGGCTATTCCCATCGGTTATTAATATTGACCATAGGGTGGCCGCCATACTAGGTGATGGGAATATACCTATAATATTTATTTATTTATTTGATATCGCTAGGTTTGTTGTTTTATCTCTGGACTTAGAGGACTAGCCAGAGAAGAGCCGCATAGCTAGTAATATTTTAACTTGGAATAAGTTGGTCTTACTAGCGCGGGAAATATTAAGTAAAGGTAATTTGAATGTTTACTACTCTGGATATTGTTAATCTTTTTTTAGGATCCGAGTTTAAAGTTTTTAATAATAATATTAAGAAACTTCACCGGTCAGAGGTCACAGAACTGCTGGTTTATGTTATTATTTACAAGTAGATGCCTAAGAGTAAGGTTTAAGCATTGGCGGTGTCTTTCGGCCTATAAATATAGGATGTAAAGATTATGTATATTCCTGAGGAATTTAATACAAAGTTTCCAGATATTTAGCCCCTGACGCTTAGGGGTTTATTAGAGAAGTATCGGCGTCAGTAAGGATTGAATGGACGAGAGGGGAGTAGCAGGCTTAGTTACTAACCCCTTCTAATGCTTCCAGTCATATTAAATCAAAGGCGAATACTCCTACACACGGTGTTCGAGGGAACGTCATGAGCACCTTGGAAGTGATGTCTTCTAGAGAATGACGCATGAAATTT